TCTGGGAGTTGAAGTCCACTCATCTTAAAGTGGCCAAGTTTGGACAACACTGCCCTTAGGGGAATGAAACTAACAGTCTGCACAAGGTCCCAAGAAATGTATTTTAAAAAGCTACCAGGAATCTCGTCCTCACTGTTTTGCAGTGATGTTGAAAATGTGCAGAACGTATTTCTCGCAGAAGCTTTTGTTTACTTGTCCCTAATTCTTTCTCCCGTCTTCCATTCCTCCTTTTCAAGTCCTTACCTTCTCGTAAGAAAAGGAAAACTAATACTAAAACTAATTAATTCAAATTAATACACAGTTCTGATAGAAGATTTTTAAAAAGTCCCCTCTACTGTATGTGTGTCACGTGTTTCAGTCAATGCCTGGGGTCATATTCCTGGCTATTTGAAGTTGCAAAGAAAGTCATCCAAATGCTTACGTTTTACAGGTTGGGAAGTGCTTTCTTCTGTGGGCTCTATATAATTATCTTCATCCTCATCATCAACCGGCACAACATAATCTGCCTGAAAGAAAATGCAGAGATGATTTAATATTTGCAGGTTTAATATAAGGCAAACAAGGACTTTCCTCTCTATGGTTATGCATGAGCAAATGTTTCGACTTTGAAATAAATGGGACTTCAAAGTACCCATTTTTTGACTGATCCAGGTAACCAAGCTTGGCTATTTTTTCTGTCTCGTCAAAAGCACTACCAGTTAATCTCATATGGAAGGGACCTATTTCTTGACTAAGTGATTGCTCCACCTTAAGATCTCATAGAGAACAGCTCCTATATTAGATTTCTGTCCTTTTCTAAATGTTAGATACGTGGGATTATTTTTACTAATGAAGTTTTTATCCACCTGGATTTTATAAATATATCCTCTAGAGGTGTGCCATCCAATCTTTAATCAACAGAATTACACAGAAACCAGTCTTTAATTACGCTGAAAAGCTTTATGATGCCTGTGTTAGGCATGCTGGGAAGAAAGGCTTGCTTGTCATCTTCCCGGAGACAGATGCAGAAAATACAGAACAGTAATTTATGTTAAACTCTGAGGTCTGCTTCCCTGCCTGGTCTGGATCTCAGTTTGAAAAGCTGCTTTCAAATCTCAAATGACCTTGGATGTGGGGAACAAATGGTATAAAGATCCAATGGATTGCACTGTACCAGAATCTTTCGACCTGGAACTTTATTAGAGGTTTTGGTTTTTCGTTTATTTACAAAGCTTCAAGACAAAAATAAAACATATGTAGTTGAAAGAAGGGCTATACCGATAAAAAAACAAAAAGCAAGCAAAAAAAGAAACGAAACGAAACACAACACATACACACACGTGTGTATAAACATATACAGATGTGTGATCTTAAAAAGAAATACAAACATTTTAAACACTTATAATCAGAATTTTTATTCAGAACATTTGTAAAAATGAAGGCAACCTATTAAGAAAAAATACTAATACAGTGGTACCTCGGGTCACGAACACTTCTGTTCACGACCAATTCGGTTCACGAACAGCTCCGGTCACAAAATTTTGCTTCCGTTTGCGAACTCCGCATGGGGTGACGAAAAGGATCCACGGCCATTTTCCCTGCCGTGACACATGGTCGGGGCTTCCTGTAGGGAGGGGGACTCTCCCTCC